GGGAGCTCTAAGGAGTTGCAGTTCCAACTTAGGTGTGTGATGCATGGGAGGGGGCGCGGGCCGGAGGGTCCATACGGTGTCATTCGCACCGTGCTTGCCAGTGGGCGTCGGGGAGCGGGGCACGGGCCACCCCTATCCCCCGCCCCGCCCCCACTCTGCGTTGGACGTGCAGGTGGCGCCCTGGGCGGTCCCCTACTGCAAAGGAAAAGAAACTGCCGCGCACCCAAAAAGTAAAGTTTGTTTTTTTTTTTTTTAGAAACGTGTTTCCCTTTTACCCCCGCACCCAACGCATATTACAAATAATAAAATCTCAAAGTTTTTTGGAATATCGTGCACACAACCTGCAGTCACCGATTTGGAACACCTCTCACCTCCCTACTCTCCCCTCCTGCCACTGCTGCCACTGGCTACAGAGATTTGGACGAACTAGGGTTCCCTGCGGCTTTTCCCCCCTCCCCCCAACCCCCCTCCCGGCTGTCTCTGGGCGAGGCAGCTAAGTGCACGTCCACTTAGAGCATGTTTGGGGAAGGAACCAACGCTGTGCCAGGAAGTGCGCGTTAATGTCACCCTCGGCCAGGTCCCGGGCCTCCAGAATCCGACGCCTCTAGCGGCACGTCCCTTCCCCTGACTGGGTCGGGCCGGAGTGCGAATTCCTTCCACTCCTGGACGAGCTGAGCCAGGAACACCGACCCCTACAGCCCGTGGGGGCGTCTTTGAGATAAGGTGCTTTGGAATGGAAAAAACTATTTACATGTTAATGACTTTCGATCTTTCTTAAGGCAGTGGAGCTTCAGGGTTTCTGCTCTCCTTTTCCTGGAACTCATTTGTCTGTAAAGGGAAAGCTAGAACCCGAGAGCTGCGAGAGCAGCGGCCGGGTTTTTTTGTGAAACTTTAAGACGAGGTGGGAGGGGGAGGAATTCCTCTCAAGAAGAGGTTGCTGTCTTGTCAGTCTGCATATGCTAGACAGAAGTTTGAACTGCCTACGAAATTCTTTTGACTTCTTGAAAATGGAAAAAATGGAAAACCCCTTCCCGGGTATAAATGTTAACTGAGGAGGATGGTGGTATGTCTGAGGAAATTTTTTTTTAAAGGTTCTGATTTCATATTAATTCTTGAATACTGCTTCATCTGCCAGAAGTTAGCTTTAGATAGCTACATGCAACGGTACAAATTTTGAAAGTTTAGATAAATCTGTTAAAATCTTAAGTCCACATTTAGGCTGTAATTATATGCTCTTTTAATGGCAGCCAAGTGTATCATCAAAACCAAACAGTAGTTATTTCCCAGGTCTTCCCGGATTGTCACACCCATCAAATTCTAAATTGAAAAGGGTAAACTTTACTTGTTCCTATTTAGATTGAAAAACTCTTAAATCTGCACACACATGTTCAGGTACCTGGAAATGAGAAAGTGGGCATCTTTATTCTTCCAACTTTTTTGATGTTTGCCCGGGGTAACAAAGTAGGACAAGATTTCAGTCAAATATATTTGCCTCTATTTGTAAAAAAGAGGAGCTGTTCATGGGTGCCAAATGCATCATTACCGACCTGCTACAATTCTCTAGCCTCCAACCACCGCACACCTTCGTGGAGAAACCTAAGTGCTAGTCTTTCACTTAGTTTTGGGTGCATTCAGCCATTTCCCCCTTTTATATATATAAATATTCAGGTAGTCATTAAGCATCCACATACAGCCAAACTGATTTTTTAAAGAGAAATATAATCAAAAGACATACTTGACCGAAATTAAGTCTTTTAATAGTCATTTTACCTTTGCCAGATGTTAAAATAGTCTTCTTGAAGAAGGTGCACTTTCTGCATCTCACCCAAGATTAAGAATCTGGCTCTGGTTTTGGTGCTGTTGGATCCTGCTTTGTATTTGCAGCACAAAGACATAGTTGAATTGCCTTCATTTGTTTTCTTTAATGACACAAAGGAGACAGGGCTCTTCGAAGGTTGCTTCTAGTCTGAAAACTACAAGTACTATTTCTAAGCTCTTTATTTCCATTCTCTCTCAGATACAAGTCTTGCAATCATTTTATTTATGACCTGACAACTTTAGTAACCTTTATCCAGTGCTCTACAGATCACTGCTTCCACATGATGCTTCTGGGAATTGCCTAAGTCACAGTTCAGTTCCTACATCACATCCATTTGGAGGGTTCAGTTTAATATTAGTGCATTTCCTCCCTGTGCATAAATATCACTGACATTGGAAAGAACATTTAATATGCACTGGTTGAAATATTTCAGTCTGTATATCATCATGTATTAATTAAGTACCTACCGCACACATGTAAGTTTTCTTCATCTCTGGGCATAGTGTTGCTGTTTTTTTTATATTTATAAATTTAAATACATGCAACAATGCCATCTAAACTTTTTATTTGTGGGTCTATTTTGGACTAATAGAATTTCAGATCTGTATATGTGTGTGTGTTTTCATGTCCCTGTGATTTGGTAGACATGAAAAGGAAGAATACAACCTGGAGAGCAGAGCAAATGCTGGGGTTCAGTCAGGTTTATAAATATTATGGTATACTTCAGGACAGCTAAGGCTAAAACTTAGTTTCTCCATGTTCTTTTCAGGCACCATATTTGGCAGGTATTTTTACAGATGTTCTCTAAGTCAGGAAATCTTGTAATCTATGGGAAAGTTGACCTACAAAGGCACTGTTGCTGATGTTATAGTAGAAAGTTTCCAGCCAGTCTCTATTTAGTTTGAAAGAGTGAGAAAAAGTCTGTGAAATGGGTTGTGGGTGTGATGATTGAAAAACTCATGCAGTAATAGACACCTGTCATTGTGTACATTTTGCTACAGTATGGTATATGCCCATGGCACCTGCACAGGTAAGTTATGGGCCTCCAGAGAATCTGTCATACTTGTTCCAATCCAAATTACAATGATTATAACTGTTCTGGAATTTAATGAAATAATACCTAATTGATAACTTAGTAAAACATGATATATGAATACAAAAAGAAAGTTGTTCCATTGGAATCTATATAAAATGCTTTGAAAGAGTTAGTGAGAAAAAATCCATGAAATTGGTTGTAGGTGTGATGATTGAAAAAAGATTGGAAGGAAAGCATTCAAATCTCGAATCTGTAACACCATCATTTCTCAAGTTCTCTCTTTGCTTTAAAGAAGCCAGAGACAGTCTTTTTTAAAAATTTGACTCTTATGCCTTAATAATAACTAAATTATTCAAAGATTTCATACATTTGCCAAGGTTCTCCTATAATATTCAGTTACTTTCTTTGGCTTGGTATCCTTGTCAGTTCATTCTTCCTTGATGGTCTGGTGGTAAGACTGCTAAATCCTACACAATGACAAGGTTTATATGTGGCCAAAGAAGTTCAGTACATTTCCATTGACTTCATCAATGTTGCATCTTGCAGCACTGTATCTTCAGTTTCCAATTAATCTGCTTTGTTTTAGGGTCAAAGCTGCCAAAGTAGCCAAAATTGGCATTCAATAAAGAAGTGCCATCCACATAATGCAAATCACATATGTAATTTGCAAGTTACATATGTAACACATAATGTAAGTCACATGTAATTTTAGATTTTCTAATAGCCGTATTTAAAAAAAGAAACAACTGAAATTAATTTCAATAACATTTTATTGTTACAATGTATCCAAAATATTACTTTATTACTTTTAATATATAGTCTATAGAGTTTTACTAATGAGATCTTTTACCATTTATATTTTTGAAATCTGGTGTGTATGTTACACCTTAGAACATCTGAAACATTATTTTGGACTTCAAGTGCTCAAATGTGTTTAGTATGGAACAGTACAATCCTTGAGCCAGAGTACCTTAGATTTAGGAGTCTTATCAAATGTGAAATACCTGATTAGGCCAGGTAGGTTAAAATAAAAAGAATCCACATATATATATTTTGGGAACAGAGAAGAATCACAATAGATAAATATTAGTTACATATAACTCCATAAATTAGTCTTTTCTACTTTCAGTAGCCAAACATTCAAATAAATGTTAAGCCCCTTTATCAGAATTATCTTTTTTTAAAATTTTTTTTTTAAGATTTATTTTTACTTATTTATGCATACAGGGCTGGGGTACAGGCCAGAGGTGCAGGGGTGATAGAGAATTCACCAGAGACAGAGTGGGGAGCAGAATAGGCAGATCGACGAAGTACCTCAGAGGGGAATAGCAGAAGAGACAGGAGAGGTCTGCTGTGCCATGTGGATCACCTCTGGGGCAGGGGCCAAGGATTGAACTCGCATGTAGCCTAACCTTTTGCGCTACCATGAAGGGCCCAGAATTCACTTCTTTTAAACATGAGGGACCCTCATCCCTGTGACAGCCATGCCCAGTCTGGGAGCTGCATGCTCAACAGGCCTTAGCTTGAGTCTAGGGGACTCATGCCTTTCATGTATAGATGCTCATTTAATAACAGGAGTTGATTTAAGTGATCACAAAATGCTATGGCTTCTTAGGCTTTGACTTTTACAACATTCTTTACCTAGTAGGAAGTTCTCTTTCCTTACAATGATACTACTCCACTTGCAAATTTACTTGTATACTCCTTTAGAAAAGTTTTAGAATTTCTTTTCAGGTACATTCTAATTGTTACTAGGAATAGTTGGGAGAAAGGTGAAGAGGAAGAGAGTGTGATATAAAGGAAAGGAAGGAAAAGGGGAAGAGAGAATGAAAGAGACAAGAAGAAAAGAAAAACAGTTGGGAGAAAGGTGAAGAGGAAGAGAGAGTGTGATATAAAGGAAAGGAAGGAAAAGAGGGGAAGAGAGAATGAAAGAGGAAGAAGAGAAAAACAGAAAAGGAGCAGAAGCTTTGCAGTGAAGCATCGGGAAGGTTTAAGGAAGATGAAGAGCTATAAATGTAAGCCTTAATACAGCACTTCAGGAGCCTCTGTGAGAAGAGACTACTGGTGGAGGCAGATAGGGGTGAACCCTGAAGAACTGGCCTGAGGGAAAAAGGGATGTTGAGGCATTTGGATTAAAACCCATAGGAAGAAAGGAAATGTCTGTAGTACATGTACTA